CCCCGGTACAGGTGGCCGTTGTCCCAGAAGCAGCCTGTGAGGAAGAGGAACCCGTCCGGGACCCTTAGTGCGGCTCTCTGGCCTCGTACTGTGTACCTCAGAGTGAAAGTGGAGAGCTCGTGTCATGTCCCTAGCAGCGTCTGGTCCACAGACTACACTCAGATTTAGCTTTTATTTTTTCCCCCTAAGCTTGCACAAGTGCAAGGGGTTGTTACTCTTGGACTTGAGACCACTATGGAGGTACAGGAGGCCTGCCTAAGGTCGGTCTGTGGAGATGGCGAGTTTGGTTCTGGGCAGTCAGGCCTGGAAGTCATCCCAGTGTTGAGAAGTCAGTGTTATATAAACTGATGACCCCTTCTCCACGGATACGGCCACCTTCTGCTAGTTTAACAGACAGCACCAGCTCCCAAGAGAATTCCACAAAAACCTTTGATTTAGTGAAGTAAAAGATTCGAGACTCCAGCTGAGGGAATCTGCCACATCTCTTCAGCTCCCACTCCCCTCCTCAGCGGAGAGCCACAGGAGGAAGCTGGAGAGGGGTGGAGGTCTGTGCGCCTGCCACACCAAGCAAACGGACTTTAAAAGGGCAGGACTCTGGGGAGGAGAGGAGATGAACTCCCAGGCTCCATCCACTCATGTACAAGGAAAGGGAAAGAGAAAGTGACTACTTGTCTTTGTTCTTAATGGCAAAGATGGAGCTGCAAGCCTCTGGCAAGGAAGAAGAGAGGGAGAGGGAAGAAGAAAAGCTTTGTAGGATAGCAAGAAAACAGCCAAAAGCTTCCTTGTCCACCTGGCCATGTTTGGGAAATCGGGGGCTCTACCCGTTTGCTTCATTAAGTTGCTGCAGAAAGAAAAACAATTGTAATCTCACCTCCAGATCTATAGGCTCCTGCCAGAAGCATGTTGCTGAGAAGAAATGTATGTACCCAAGCTAACAGCATCATCGCCTCTTCCGGCTTGCAGGTGACTGAACCTCCAGTATCCAAATGGGGTCTCCTTGGCAGCAGTTTGGCCTCCTAGTTCCCAGCCTTGCAACCAGACCAGCCCTTGTTATGCTCTTCTGGTAAACAGCCTCTCTTTAGAACCGGGAGCTTCCCAGCTAGCTTGCTGCAGCCGAGGTGTTTTTCAGCTGAAAGGCGCCCCCTGGGTCCTAAGTCTCCTAGACCATACCAGATCACTAACCCTGAGCCAAGAGAGGAACCCAGCCAAGTCAAGAATGGCAGAAAGGTTCAGGCTTTGCCTAGCAGCAGATCCGTTTGAGACCTGCACGACTGTGTCCCCAGAGCTTTTCTTCTTTTTCCATCTGTGAGTACAGAGTCATTGTGTCAGAGGCATCGTGGAGTGGGGTGGATTAGGAGTGCTAAGGCACAGCACAGTAGTAAGAGATGATACTGACTACAAAAGCCGGAGGCATTTAAGACCACATAGGCAGCACAAATAAGAATATCTGGCCAGAAGCAACTCTATACCCATATGTATATATTTAAACGGCCAGGGTCAGGTCAGTCACATTCCTTTACTCACATTTGAGGTTTGGGCTATCCATATATAGTAGGAATGCAGAAAGGGTATCTTTAGTTGAAAATACATGTTGGATTTGTTAGCTATATTATAAAGTCTGCCCTTTCTACCAGCCCTGAAGTAGAATGTCACACACACACACACACACACACACCAATCTGTGGGAAATACAGTTGCAGTAACTTATACCTATCATTAAACCACATCCATGTAACTTGGGGCTCGTGGAGTTAGGAAAAGGGCCCTCTTTCTAGCTGGCTGGCAGTTGTAGGTCCCAAGCCTCAGTAAACTGAGAGATAGAGCAGAGTGATTTGCCAAGACTACCTTGTGACTCGGGCAAATCCCAGAATAGAAATGGGAGACTCTGTTTTGATCTTGCCACAATAATGTAGGGAGGGGAAAATAACACTACCAAATGCATTTATAGACTTTATCATAGTAGAAAGCTGATGCAATTCTAACAAATTAGAAGTGAGTGGACTCAGGTATTTTAAAAGAAAAAGGTTTATTTTTATTTGTGTGTCTATCTGTGTCTGCACTCAGAGGCCACAGAAAAGTTCCAGGTCCTCTAGAACAGAGGTTACAGGCAGTTGTGGGCTATGGCATGTGGCTGATGTGGGCACTGGAAACTCAACTCAGGTCCTCTGAAAGAGCAGCAAGTACTCCTGACCTCTGAACCATCTCTCCAACTCGCCTGGGGTGCTTTTAAAAAACACATCGGGGCTGAGAAATGACTCAGTAGTTAGGATCACTTGTTCTTGCAGAAGACCCAGGTTTAGTTACCAGCACTTAGCTCAAAACTGTGTCCAGTTCAAGAGGATCCAGTGCCCTCTTCTGACCTGCTTAGGTACCAGACATTCACCTGCTGCACATCATACATGCTGGCAAAACACTCATACAAATAAATGCCCCCAAAAGAATTTGCATGTTTGTGTGTGTGTGGGTGGTATCTCATGAGCATGTGGTATGTGCCCATGTGTGTAAATATGGAAACCAGAGCAGGATGTCCAGTGTCTCACTGCCCTGAAACAGGGTTTCTCTGTGGCTTTGGAGGCTGTCCTGGAACCAGCTCTTGTAGACCAGGCTGGTCTCGAACTCACAGAGATCCGCCTACCTCTGCCTCCGAGTGCTGGGATTAAAGGCATGTGCCAGCACCGCCCAGCTGAAACAGGGTTTCTTGCTGAACCAAAGAAGGACATTTAAGCTAGGCTGGCTGGGCAGTGATCTCCTGACAACACACCGAAGTTCTGGGGATCCTTCTTTCTATGTTCTCCAGCACTAGGTTATAAGGCACATAGAGCCATGCCTGAATCCTCAGTGCAGAGCCATGTCCTCTTAACATCTCATTTGAAAGTGTGTTTGACCCTAGCACAACACAAACCAGCTCTGGAAGTGGAGGTAGGATGAACAGAAGTTCAAGGTCACCCTTGGGTGTGTACATAGGGAGTTTGAGGCTAGCCTGGACTACATGAGAGCCAGACTTAAACTTTAAAAAGAAGTTTGCTAAACATTTTTGTTAGTTTTACAAATACTTATTTTTGAAAATTTAATAGATGCTGTGTGGTAGCAGTGCACGCCTTTAGTTCCAGAGACAGAAGAGGATCTCTTTGAATTGGAGGCCAGCCTGGTCTACAGAGTGAGTTCCAGGACAGTCGGGAATACACAGAGAAGCCCTTGTCTTTAAAAAGAAAGAGGGGTGGGAGGGAGAAGGGAAAGGAGGGGGAAGGAAAGGGAAGGAAAGGAAAAGGAAAAGGACACCTACTGGATAGTAGGTGGTATTTTTAGATACTGGGCTTCTTTTTGTGAACAAAATACTTGAAATCTGTACCCTCATGGAGTTTAAATTCTAGTTGGATGAGACCTATTTGAAAGATCAGGATTGTTACAGAAAAGAAAGTGATACAGAGTAAGAGACAGATTAATGGAGTGTGTTTCACTAAAGAATGTATACAAACTGGGTTATACAAACTGGGTGGTGGCATACACCTATAATCCCAGTACTCAGGAGGCAGAGGCAGGCAGATCTCAGTTGAGTTAGAGGCCAGCCTAGTCTGCAGAGCATATTCCAGGACAGCTAGGGCTACACAGAGAAACCCTGTCTCAGGGGAAAAAAACCAAAAACAAAAACAAAAAAGAATGTATACAAGCTTTGTGCTTTAGTTTATACCTGTAACTCAGAGTCTTAGGACTGTGAGGCAAGAGCATTGCTTACAATTCTAGTTGGTAGCATGAACCTGAAGGAGTGGGGCCTAAAAACAAAGCAAACTAAAGTCTCATGCAGTAGCCAACTTTATTCAGATCACCAGAAAATTTATACTCTAAGTGTTAAGAAAAGTCCCCCCCCCCAAAAAAAGTGTACAATCAAAGAACAAGCCACACATGACAATAAAAAACAAAAACATGTTTTTCCATAGAGGTACATCTCTCTCCTACACCTGGGAGGAGCACAAAAAAAAAAAAATGCATTCCAAGAACAATTCTATGTTTTAAAGAAAATGAAGTCACAGGACTCTTGTTTTCTCACAGGCACTCAAAATTGTCACACAACTCCATTCTTGGACTGTGTTCTGACAGAGGATCATAAGTTTGAGACCAACCTAGGCCAATCCAAACAGTTTAGTGACAGCTTGTCTTAAAAACAAAAATGTGGCCAGGCTCATGCCTTTAATCACAGCACTTGGGAGGCAGAGGCAGGCAGATCTCAGTGAGTTCAAGGCCAGCCTGCTGTACAGGTCGAGTTCCAGAACAGCCAAAGATACAGAGAAACCCTGTCTCAAAAAACAAAATAAGATAAAAAATAAAAATTTGGTGCCCATAGAAAAGCATTTGACAACATGCTTGGTGGAAGTGTGGTTTTTAATCTCAGAGTAGCAAAGGTTCTTTGAGGTTGCTCCCTCAACATCTAATCTAATAATGTTCCTCCTTTGACCCTGAATGGTGCTTCTGCTGGTCTATTTCCTCCCTGAAACCAGTATAGAGACAGGCTTGTACAAGCCAGTCAGCACCTACATCCTTTTCAGAGTGTCCACCATGCCCATGTGTAGATGCCAGTATTTCACCATCTGAAACTCCGGGAGATCTGTCACCCTCTTCAGTCTTCCATGGGCATCAGGACTCACATGCACATACTCATTAGACACACACATAACATAATGAAAATGAATTTTAAAAACCACACAATAGGATTGGAGAGATGGCTCAGATGTTAAGAGCATTAGCTGCTCTTCCAGAGGTCCTGAGTTCAATTCTCAGCAACCACATGGTGGCTTACAACCATCTGTAATGAGATCTGGTGCCCTTTTCTGGAGTGCAGGCATACATGCAGACAGAACATTGTATACATAATAAATAAAATTTTTATTTAAAAAAAACTAACATATATACAAAATGTAGATGAAGATCACACAAACCAAGCATTCATTGCTCATTATTTAATGCAATAAACATCTTTACAAAAGAAAAAAAGAAAAAAAAAACCTAACAGTATGACATCAGGTATGTAACTTAGTGGTAGAGTGATTACCTAGCCTGTATAGGGCCCTGGGTTCCATCCCCAAGAATGGAAAAAAAAAAAACCCAAAAGTATATATTAAGCATATATAAAATGGAAGTCCATTCTTTTCAAAGAAATAGCCTTGGGGTTTGTATATTTTGACTAAAATATTATTTCCTTAATAAGCTTCACAAAACTATTGCCTACACTTTGTTTTGTTTTCTGAGACAGGGTTTCTCTGTGTAGCCCTGGCTGCCCCGGAACTCACTCTGTAGGCCAGGCTGGCTTTGAACTGAGAGAACTTGCCTCTGCCTCCCAAAGGAGTGCACCACTATGCCTAGCATAGCCTGTACACTTTGCATATTCCAAATTATTTTTATCACAATCTCAAGGGCTACTTTGATAGCACACCATGTGAATGGACTAGCTGGAGTCATCCTATTACAGTTTTACTGACACCTTGGCCTGCTTTTGCTAATTAAAAAAAAAACTTAAGCCGGGCATTGGTGGCACATGCCTTTAATCCCAGCACTTTGGGAGGCAGAGGCAGGTGAATCTCTGTGAGTTCGAGGCCAGCCCGGTCTCGAGAGCGAGTGCCAGGATAGGCTCCAAAGCTGCACAGAGAAACCCTGTCTCAAAAAATCAAAAAAAAAAAAAAAAACTTAAGGTAAAAAGCTTTATGCCTTTCTTATTGCAGGGCCACTAGTAGTATATTTGGTTATCAGACTGAACTGGTACTTCTTGGGAAGTGCTCTGGAGGCTACTTCTTGACATTACAATATGGTTTTGTCTCTGGGTTGGCACTCGTTTAATACAAAGCCAGGAGTCTATTCTTGGAAGTCTTTGATAAAAATTTACTGTGTTGTCTTCAGGGGACAAACAATCTAAAATATTTGACTAATATGATATCATAGTATTATGACAGTAATATTTTCTGAAGGAATTGGAAATCTGGAATAACAAGATATAAAATAGCCTTAATGCACCAACACATGAAGAAAAATTCAAATGTGCATGATGAGAAAAAAAGCAAAACATCAGGAATGATGACAGATATATCTGTGAACTAAACCTGGTCTCCTTAAGCTAAGTATCAAACCTATTAGGATTTTCATTTAA